TACGGATTTTCCAAAACTCATAACGTTTTTGAGGTATTTTAAAGTTTTCAGCCCCATAAAAGCACTATTTCTTAAATTTAATACCATATTCAGAATCAGCGTCAAAAACTGCATCGAATGGTGTATAACTCATCTAGTTTCGGTCGCTCGATTTTCAATTCTAGAAATTTCTTAGTTTTTGAGATTCACACAAACAATTTCGTGCTGAAAATTTGAATTTCAAGATAAAGTAACCTGAACGACTCGAAACATGTTTCTTATAGGTTTTCGACAATGCTCTTTCCAGTGGCACCGTTTTTAAATGTTGAGAAAGTTTTCTGAAGGGTTTTCCAGAGACTGGATCTCTGGAAAACTCCTTAAAAAACTTTTTCAAAAGCTAACTCTCATGCCATTCGAAATAGGATCATGAAAAACCTATAAAAAAATGGTTCATGAAACTTTATTTCGCTCATAAAGCTAAAGTCCGCCTGCTCAAGCAAAAAATGTCCACTGTGTTATGCACAAGCGGCCAAAAATGCACACTGTGTGAGAGGTGTTCTCGACAGAAAATGTCGAAATTATGTTTGGACACAGATCGAAAATCAAGATGATAGGCTTAAAAATGGATGAAGAGGGGTGTGTCGAAACGACAGTTTAGACCATAGAAGGCACGAATTAGACGAATGACGTTGGCATACTCGAATAAATCAAGCAACAGCTCATTGGCCAACGGCTCCAACTTCATCTTTCTTTACTATGCAGTAAAACGAAATGGTAATGACAGTTGTATCTATAAAATGAAACGAGAAGTGCTTTTATTTGTTGCGTGTCCTGCATGCTTTCATTCTACCACGTTTGTCGAAGTAGTCATATTGTTTCTTCTTTGTCATGATAACGATGATCAAACAGAGATAAAATATTTTCTTCTTTACTGTTGATCTTTCTCTTTCTGTCACTTTTTTCCAATAGGACTGTAGCAATGTAAATGTTAAAACTTTGGTCAAAAATGAGACATTTTACATTTAAAATGTTTGTTGTATCAGCAGCGCCAGAACAGAACAGGATGATACATAAAGGACGCATGCGGTCTTTTTTCTTGTTTTTCTTTTCCTTCTGTCTATAAATGTATGTCAAAATTGTTCTTCTTGATTGTTGGGAAATTCCCAGTATATATTGCGTCTTCGTTGTTTCACTTTTGTGTTGACTCTATGATAGAGACACGCTAAATATAAATATAGTAGGTCATTGTGTTTTCCTCTTGTCTAAATAAAGAATAGCGAAAAGTTCGAAAAGAAGCAAGCCAAGCGTCGAAAGATTGGAATTTGAACTCTTATAATTTATCGAAAAAGTTATTTCGTCTTCATCCACATAACCTCGCTCATTTTTCATGGGTCAAGTTACGGCTATTCCAGATGCTACTCAAAGAGGTCATGCCGCGCAAATTCGTCAAATGGATGATAACCGAAGCCGCGCAATGTTAAACAGCGGAGAACGCAATTTCGTTAATAGTGTTATACACGGACGATCTGAGCTACATACACCCTCCATGGATGCACGTCTGCAGGATTTAACAACTCGATTTACTCCAAATAATCCTTATGGTCCTCCGAATCGTCCAGATCTTTAGACGAAGCATCTCGACTTTAAAACTTGTTGGTCATTTCGTTCGGAATGACGCATACAACAATCATAATTGGTTTCTTCTCTACATAAAGATAGCAAGAGAAAAATAAAAACCAAATACAGTTCAAAGTATACGTTAACACTGTTGCTTTTGATATACGTAAAAAATAAAATAACTATAATAACAGCAGAATCATACATAAGTATTTGAACACATGGTATATCTATAGTGACAGATTCTGCTCGGAGACACCGATTATTTTCTGCTGCTATAGTGTCTCATTGAAGAAACGCAACATAAAAACTCTGTCCAGTGTTCAATGGGTAGTAGAGTATGCTTTTAAAGTTGGGGGTAGGGAATAGATAGGGGATGGGAAGATGCAAAAGGTAGGACATAGGGTTGGGCTGTGGTGTTTCTGAGGTATATTGTGCGGAAAGAGGTTCTGCGGGGTTGCTTTATAACTCCTAGGTAATCGACTGAATCTCCTGTTTCATACATGAGTTTTATGTTAGTGTCTGTATCGTTCATTCGGTTAGGGATATGACAAAACTCAATAAGGTTTCCGCCAGTTGTTAGGTAGATGTCATCTCAGAAAAATTTCCGACCTTAGTCTTGTGTCCTTCGTGAGAAATCGAATTTTCTGTTTTTCATAGGGGATCTGCATGGCCATGCGACCTGCAAATGAAAAAAATCTAATCGTGTAATTCAATAGCGCAAACATTTAAAAAGCACTCTAATAGAGATAATAGATGATCTTATCAACGTATGAGTTTGAAAGCAGGCTTGATAACGGAAAAAAAAATTATTTCATGTACTGGTCGCAAGGCTATGCTCATCGCCTGTGAAAAAACAGAAAATTTGATTTCTCACGAAGGACACAAGACTAAGGTCGGAAATTACAGCATACGAGCTATGCTTAGGACTATTATTGCTGTGAATTTTAGCTCTTTAACCCTGGAACAGTGCGTTACAATAAAAATCCCAAAATTACAAATTTCACTAAATCAGTCATAACTCGGGAAGGAAGCTACATGGGGACGAATCCTTTTGGACTTTTTACTATCTCGATATACTCTGTCGATTAAGATATGAATGAGTCGAAACGGGAGGGGGCATCTGGAAATGTTCCCTCGTGAGTTAAGAAAGAGGAAAAAACTTAATAAAATCTTAGCAAAACAAGTGAAGAACGCAAAAAGGAAATATACGTTCTTTGCAATCTTATTCTTATCGCCAGAAACTGTAGCGTAGCAAGACACTTAGTTATGACAAAGAAACACAGAACCTAACGTAGAAAAAAAATTCAACGTACTTTTATTCTGCATTCATAATGATTGAAACTCACCCTCACCCTCACAATAATCGACCGCTGTTTTTTGCTGTCTATATTTTCAAAACAACAATTTTTTTCTGATGGGCCATGAATAACTAATTAAATATACACTGGGATTACCGGACGTGGAACACGAAAAGAACAATGGTAAAGTCTCCTTCACCTCCTTCTACAATTTTTGAGATCGACTTTTTTTGCTATTGAGTTCCAATCATTATGAATGCAGAATAAACCGCCCCTCACCCTCACCGCGTGCCTATTTTTAATGCTTTACAATTTTGTTAGAGCAAAAAATTATATAATAGTGTTTGTTAAGAAGTTCAAGGCCATGTCTCTGATTGGTCCGAAATCCGATCAATAAGAAAATTTAATATGGCTTCATTGTGTTCCATCACTGTTCAATATTTACGGATCAAGGTAAGATACCATGAATCTACCGTCAAATAACACACTCAGTATTGCAATAAAATGAACAAGAGTCTGTTTCTACAATTGTTTTGATAGAAATACGTTAAGTAGCTAAAAAATTGGAAGTTCGATAAGAATACGCTTTTTTAGTGTTAAAAAAGCACTTTTTGTTCAAATACGTCAAGACGATTTTGTGAGGAATTCTGGTGAGATTGTTGTGATCGTGAGAAATCAGATTTTCTGTTTTTTCATAGGGGATGAGCATAGCCTTGCGACCAGTACATGAAATAATTCTTTTTCCCGTTATCAAGCCTCTTTCACGCTCATACGTTGATAAGATTTTTGTTGAATATACCGAAGCAAAAGTTTTGATATTTGAACTGTTTTTGTAACGTGACTTGTTGCTGTACACTGCGTTACACAAACATTTTTCTAACCGATGAGCTGAGCACAACAAATGCTATATCTTTTTGCAGTTGGAAGTTTTCTTCTAAGTGCCAAATAGCGGGTGAGCAATGACACAAGTTTTTCTTAGAGAACCGCCACGCCATTAAAAAATTAAGATATATGAAAAACCAGCCAAATCTATCGATTTAACAAATACATATTCAAACTCTGCGTCAAATCTGCTATCTATTGCTAAAAAATTTTCTAGTTCTGGGTCAAGTCGAAGACAAAAATAAAAATTTTTTTCCAATTTTCCCTGGCGGTGTCTTTGGTAATGTGCTTGGGCTAACTTTAGCGAAACTCTGGTTTTGATGAAACTTTCAGAGAATGTTGTCCTATATATGGTACGCCCGCACGGATAGCGAAAACATGCGAAAAGTTTCCTGAGCTAGGTTATAAGTTTATCAAAAACTCTCGGTTTTTTCCGTATTTTCCAATTTTCTCAAACTAAGTCGTTCCAAATCCAATAAAAATGGCATATTCGAAATCAGCGCATAAAACTGCATCGGCCCGTGTATAGGGCAAATTATTTCTCTAGAGAAAACGTCGCACTTCAGAAAATTTTGGAATTGAAGATTTTCTCGATGAAGTTTTTTACTATATTTTTGGAAACCAATATAGTAGCTCCGAACGAAGTCTACAAAAATTCTTTTTATAGGTTTTCCTGTGCGCTCGTTCTAATTGCACCACTTGCGAAGCTCAAAGCTGGTTTTCTGAAAGATTTCTGACGAGCTGCTCTCTTGAAAACCTTGCAAAGACCCGGTTTGGGACTTCAAAAACGACGCCATTCGAAGCAGCACACAAGAAAACCTCGAAAATTCTTTGTAGACCCCTAAAGTCCTTCAAAAGCTCATGTCCGTCTGCCTAGCCAAAAACGCACACTGTGTGAGAGGTGTTCTCGACAGAAAATGTCGAAATTATGTTTGGACACAGATCGAAAATCAAGATGATAGGCTTAAAAATGGATGAAGAGGGGTGTGTCGAAACGACAGTTTAGACCATAGAAGGCACGAATTAGACGAATGACGTTGGCATACTCGAATAAATCAAGCAACAGCTCATTGGCCAACGGCTCCAACTTCATCTTTCTTTACTATGCAGTAAAACGAAATGGTAATGACAGTTGTATCTATAAAATGAAACGAGAAGTGCTTTTATTTGTTGCGTGTCCTGCATGCTTTCAGAAAACCAGCTTTGAGCTTCCCAAGTGGTGCAATTAGAACGAGCGCACGGGAAAACCTATAAAAAGAATTTTTGTAGACTTCGTTCGGAGGTACTATATTGGTTTCCAAAAATATAGTAAAAAACTTCATCGAGAAAATCTTCAATTCCAAAATTTTCTGAAGTGCGACGTTTCTCTAGAGAAATAATTTGCCCTATACACGGGCCGATGCAGTTTTATGCGCTGATTTCGAATATGCCATTTTATTGATATATGCCATCAATTGGGGGATCTCGATCATCCAACTTTGGGGATCTCGAAATGCCATGCATTATAGATAATCGACTCGGCTGAGCATAGTGGCAACATTTGTTTTTGTGTGGCAATGAAAATAAGTTCGCTAGAGGAATTTTTGTGAAAAACCGGTTTTTCGCCTGTTACTAGCAAAAGTTAAAATTCTTATATCTCGCTCAAATCTCATGTTATCAAATCCAATGCCCAGCCGAAATTCACCTTTTCGTCTTCGATGATGGTTTATGAGCTGTCCTGAGCGTTTCTTGAAAGGTTTCTTAAGTCGCCATGAGATTTGAGCGAGATATAAGGATTTTAACAGGCGAAAAACTGATTTTTCACAAAAATGCCTCTGGTGAACTTATTTTATTTAATTCTAAGTCAGAAAAAGTGTCATTTTACCGGTTTAAAGAAAAAATATTTTTCGACGTCCTTGAACGGGTCCTTTGCCTTAAAATTTTTCGAAAAAAGTTTTTTCGCGAACTTGGACGATCTGAGAATACAGTTTTACTCAGAATTCGACGCTGATTCCGAATATGTACGCCTCATTGTGTAGTCTTTTAGGCAGGAAACCTTACATTCTACCACTTGTCCTTTACGCGAAAAAAGAAAATCATGTGAGCTTTTTGCTTAAGTTACTTTGCCCAACAACGGCGTCTCGAAATAGTCGTTCTTTGCATAATAAATATATGCAAAATATTAATTTTATACGGTTGATTCTGATCAAATTTGCAGGGAATGTTAGACCTCCTTAGAAGCTAGCAGAGGACAAAAGTCTCCTCAAAGTATTGAAAGCTGGCTAAGGTATGATCGAAACACGCACCGTTTATGGGGGGAAATCCTCCACATTCAAATTGACAGTTATGTGTCCAGGTTCTTTTATTCTCTAGCAGGATTTCCGACTGTTCTTAAGAAATGGGAGGGGCTAAAAGCTTCGCAGAAAGCGGCTGACAATAAGAAATTTGGGAAATTTTTGGCAGAAAGTTACCTGTGCAAAAGTGTCGATGATTTTCTCGGAAAGTGCCGGAAAGCCCAAAAACTTTTTTAGGGGGGGGATCAGGCCCCCCTGGTCGGGAAGCCTGTTTTTTAGAAGCTTCTCTCCAAAACTCTCGAAACTAAGGTTTCTAGAAAACCGTAGTTTTTGGGCTAATTGTACTTCTTAAAACAGATTTTAAAAACCACTCTGAAGACACGAAATACTTTAAACGACACATCTGAATTCAACGTAGAAAGGCGAACATTTTGAGAAAAACATCAGGTCTTCAACCGAAAATGTCACCTTTGAATTTAATTTGGAATTTCAAATATACCAAGACCAGACCCTTAGTGATATTTTATTCTTTAGAAAGTTCCGAGCGTGCATCGCGTTCTCACTGTGAAACTTCTCTTGGTAGTGACATAAGTTCAGGTAGTCGCTCAGGTGGAGAAGAGAAAAAGATCATAGTGACCCAAGGGGGTAAAAGCACCACTTCACCACTTCACCACTTCATTTCACTTCACTTCATCTAGGTAAAACGCTGCTGAAACGGTCGAAACAATAAAAAATCACTTCAAGTTCACGTCAAGTTAAACGGAAGTGGTGAAATGGTACTTTCCCTCCCTTGCTTCCCTCCCTCAACAGGGGCGCCGTTTCAGCAGTGAAGTGAAGTGAAGTGAAATGAAGTGGTGAAGTGGTGCTTTTACCTCCTTGATAGTGACCTATAGTAAATGAGTACATGAAGGCAACGATCGTTCATATAGCGTCGAGTAGTTATCGGTAGTGTTGAAATATCTTATTTTGATTAGTTTTGACCTCTATCACATCGAAAAAGTGCAGCGTTAGTGGTTAAATTTAAAACATAGAAAAAATAAAGTGAAATTAAAGAGAGGTTTTCTGTAGATCTCCTAAAGAACCATGTATTCGAATCTCACAAACCCCTACGTTTATTTAGCTATTAATTCTCTATCCAACCACGTTTGAACCAAGGTTCTATCGCTTATCTGGCTGAGCTATTTCAGTTTTAAAAAACGTTAAATTTTTTAAATTTCAAATTAAACTCAAGGCTGAAATTTTGAGTTGCAGGCTTGATTTTTCCCTTAAATTGTTTGCCTTTCGATATTGAATTCGAATATGTCGTTTAAAATGTTTCATGTCTTCAGAGTGATTTTTAAAGTGATATTAAATTTGTTCTTTACGCTTATTGTTGATAAGAAAATATCATGTAATACTTTGTTTGCCTAGCATATTTAATAACAAAACCAGAATCCATAGTGTTTGACTTTATTTTATCGCCTTTCGTCCGAGTAATAAATAAAAGTCAAAAACGCTGTGTCAGTTAACCGACACTGGAAAAATTGAACATTGTCACATTCAAGAAACAGTCGACAGTGTATAAATTCGTAATATGTATTATTTCTACTCTGGACTTTCTCTTATTAAATGAAAAGAAAAAACTTTTTCTGGCTACGTGTTTTCATCCTGTTCTCTTGAGTATGTGTTTTTTCTACAAGTTTTCTCACTTCACACAAACTTATTTATGCCCATAGACAGAGGATTCTGCAAAGTATATTCAGATATATGTTAATCTTGAAAAAGCTCACTTTCAGTTTTTCACCTAATGTCACGCTGATTGCCGACTGTGTCAGGTATTGTTGAATTAATAAGGAAAAGAAGAAGAAAATTAATAGAAACATGACTATGGCTCGAACTAATATTTGTTAAAAGTAACTGCCGAAGTTAGTAAAAATAGAAAGCTGATAAAATTAACGTTTAGTTAGAGAGTATCTCGCAAGACGTCTTCTGTGAAAATAGTGTTTTCGGAAAACCATTTTCTTTTTTCTATACTAGAGTGGGAGGTTAATATCAAGTGTGTCTGTTTTTTTTCAAAATTAGAATTTTCTTCGACTTTGTGGTCGATAAAAGTGTTTTATATTCTCGCGGAACACAAATAAATTCGAGAATGAGTGAACACAAAATATGTCAGATGATTAATGCAGAAAAATGTGCAGATACAGATAATCAAGTATAACATTTGAAATATAAGTTTTTGGTTATAAGTTGGTTGCCGATTCATACAAAATGAATTTTTTATTTAAAACGTAAAAAATTTCGTAAGAATTTTGATCATTGACGCTAAATACTGCCTTTTTGAATCGAAGAATTCGTTGCTCGACAACTACGATTCATTAAAAACTTATGGTCTAGCGTTGCTGAGAACTAATCGAGGAACAAAACTGGAAGAACAAATTATCGATACTGATTAAATCGAAATCAAGTTGTTTGCAACTGTAGATAATGACACAATAGTTATATGATGGTCATATATAAATTAGGTAGGCGGTCAGTTTCTGTTTTAAACATCATCACTAAGCTCAAATATTCAATAGAGAGGTATGAACCAGTTTGCATTTTTTTCTTGATAATAAATTTGTTTTTTTGTTATTGTTGTCACGTTAGAAAGAGTTTCATAAACAGAATGGAATTATCCTTATTCGATTTTAGATTAGTACTTTTCAATGACTTTATTATTAATAATAATAATAATCTCGATAAGTATATCGTAGTTTTATACGAATAAACATAATTTATTTTTCAGAGATCATGAACATCCACAACATGAATAGTTTGATTGTCTCTACGCATTTTATCCTCTCGATGATTTTTGGAGGTATCAAACGGATTCAGTATCAGTTATACCTTATTGTATTCGATCATTATCATTATCACCACCTATTACAATCTGCCAGAATAATGGACAAAAATATACATTTGAACAATGGAAATTTGATAACATAACATGTGGCAATTTATATGAATGGAATGTACCTATTGATATTACTGATGAGTATGGAAAATATTTAAATTATAATTCCACATTACCATTAAGTTATTGCAATTGTACATGAGAATGGTTTGGACAATTTTGTCAATATTCCTCCCAGGATGATCAGGATGAGTTCTTTGAGGCTATTATTAGCCGTCGTTTTTCCGAACGATATAACACTGCGAACCACATTCCAGTTCATAAAGATCTAACGTGTTATATGGGATTAAAATGTGTCGGACAAAGATTATATCTTGATTGGAGACAAATATGTAATAGTATTGTTGATTGCGATAACGGTGAAGATGAACTTGATTGTTTACAATTAGAAATAAATGAATGTGATAATAAAACAGAATATCATTGTAAATCGGGTATGTGTATTGATAAAACATTTGCGTCTGATTTAATACATGATTGTCAAGATGACAGTGATGAAGACGTCACAATTCGTTTCGTCGGTTTCGTTTGTTGTTACATCAATTAAATTTATATTTACAACAACATTACAAAATAATACTCAATAAGAACAAGCGTATTACGAAGAAATTGACAACCTAAATCATTTTTATGCTCACATGACAATGGATGTAATTTATTTGATTCATCTCTACATTATCGAATATTTTCATCATTACTTAACATTGTTTGACGTTCAATACAATCTGATGTTGTTAAACATTTAAATCGATTATTTAAATTTAATTGACAAACATTTGTACTTGAATCGAATTTTTCATCCGTAGAAAATAGATAATCGTCAAAATTATCTTTAACACGATAGTTTGATATATACTTCGATGTATTAGCACAATAACATAATATTTTATTATAATAATTTAATTTTAATTTAGTATTATAATTAAAACAAGATGAAAATGTTAATTGAACATCGTAAAAAAACGTTTTATAAGTACCACTTGTACTTAACCAAAAAAAATGACTTATTTCTTGACAAGTCTGATAATTATAAAATGTACTTTGAATAATGAAAATGTTTGACATTGGTTTAATTGTAACATAAATAGCATGGAAATTGATCTTCTGTTGAATTACATAGAAAATTTACAGATGGATAAATAAATAGTGCTGGATACAAAAAAATATTCTCATATAAATTACTTTGTTTATCGCACTGAGTTTTACTGGAACTAGAAGTTCGTTTTCTCTTATCAAATTGACATATAAGGCAACTGCGACAGAATATTGTATGATTATCTTCGTCGCTTATACTTTTATTTGAATTAAATAAACTTTCTTTGTAATATGTGTCACGTCTATTCTTACATTCTTCATTGCATGTACCATCTCCGCATGAATTAGATATCCATGGACAATTATGTTCTTCACAGTGAACTGATGCACTAGAGTGACAGCTTTTCACGGCGTATCTTATAAAAGAAAAATCAAGATTTTATCATTGGGATGGCATCGGCCCTCTCTGTCGTCATATTTAGTTACAACTATTTGATGGGGATTCATAATCGAAGCGGAAACGAGAAGATACGTTGTATATCCGGTAGTCGCGATAAAGCATCGGATTCCTACCGAGGAACCTTGCGGGAAACAAAAAACGTATCCAAAGGCGATATACAAGAAAAATTAAAAACAATTCTGTGTTATGTGACTTTTAACTCACCTTGTATTTAGATCTTTCTCTAATATTTTTCAAATTGGGCGAATAAATCTTTACTTGGTCATCTTGTGATTTATATTATATAATAGGAGAAAAAATAATCAAAAGTAGAACTTCTCGTTGGAAATATATTCTCACATTGGAATTGGAGAAATTATCAAACTTTTGCGAAAGAACATACTTACCATTTTCTTCGGATGATAAACAATTTATTTAAAAAAATAAGTTGATTCATTTAAAATATTCTTGCATAAATAAGACATTGACAGTGATTAATATTCATTAGAACAGCGTGCTCATGTGGCGCTCATCTGACAAAGTACATAATAGGATATTCTATAAAAACAGACAGATCATCTAAATTATTTGCATTTTTGAGAGACTTTTCTCAATAAACTGCTAAAGTCAGCGATTTTTGGTATGAGTCAATTATTTGAAGTGATTATCAAACTGGATTTTTTTGAGAAGACATTCATTATATTAATCTATACAATTGAACATTTCTTCTTATATGTTATTTGATAAATCGCTATGAAGTTCTATTTTATAATCTAATCCAATGATTTGTATCCAAAGAACATCTGAAAAGTTTTGATCCCATTTAAATTTATTTTCTATCTCTGTCAGATTCATTGGTGAAGAGCTGTATTTAAATATTAATATCTAAGTCTATCACTGAAAAGGAATTCCATTTAATTTCAATCAGTTTTATAGAAAAAGCTGCATCGAGAAAAATTTCTTCAAAAATTTAGTCAAACTTATTTATTTTTCTAGAAAGAATATCCTGTAACACTGGTTACTCACACGTATGCTTATTGTTCGTTCTATATACCTTTTATTTTATTTCATTGTTATTTCTAGAGCCGTTGAATGTAAAGCAGTAGAATAAGAAAGGAAACCAAAGAGCGCCGTCTCTTACAGACAAATTAGTCTCCTTTTTTAGCTGTTTCGCGCCAAACTTAATCAATGAGATTTTCAATTAGAGCGTTTAGCACCATTTCTAGTCTTTCTAGAATTATCTTAGTTTTCTTCGACTTGCTCATTTTATTTTCGACATTAGTAGCTCATTAGATGCCATAGTTTCCCTAAATTTTACCATTTTAATACAGGCGTCATGAAAAATCAGTATTGCCCGAATTTTAGGCCAGTGAAAAAGCAGCAATGAGTCCTGTGAAGATAAACAGTAGGATCGCAACCGTCGAAATTTTATGGAAAAAGGTGGCATTCCTATTAAATGTACAAGGATTTTAGATCACGGAGATGACGACGATATAGTTTGTTTCTCTACACCGGCCAGTCGGCTCAGGTAGGGTGTTCCTATATGTACAGCTGCAATTTCCAATTGATTGCTGACAACCTCATGGGCTAACTGTAAATCATTGTCCGCAATTGTGTATATTTGTTGACTGTTGTTTTTTATTTGTTTTTATTGCTCATGCGGCTGTTAAGCTAACTGCAGCATTTCGTTCGATTTCTTTTCAGAACTTATCCATGATGACCCTTTACGACTTGTAGAAAGAATACGTTGAAATAGATCCAAGAACCGCTTCGTTTTTATTTTTGAAATTGATGTACCGTCCGAAATGTCTGAACTAATTAAAGTAGATTGAATTTTCGACAACGGTATGTAAGTTACGACTGGAAAAGACTGAGGATGATCAAAAATGTTCGAAAATTAATACGATATTTGCATTAGGATCGAATAAATAATCATTTTGAATTTGGAGGTTGGAGGATATATAGAGTTGTTCGCTACTCATTATTAACTGAACAACAAAATGCTCACGGCAACATTATTAGTAAGACGTGGTCCCGAATAAATCGATCACTTAGTGTTTTGCTCGTATCTCAGTTAGATTTTATCCTCTAAGCTTGGCTTTATTTCAGAATATGTTCAGTGGAATTCTGTATAAAAAATATGAACATTTTTTCATATACTGTAATTTGCAAATCGAAAATTAAAAAAAAGTAAAAGCGGAAAAGAGTTTGAATATATATGATTTAGTGAATGATACTTGACTATATTATGATAGATTTAGCTCTGTATGTCCAATTAAGAGCGAGCACTCATGAATGGAAAATTAGTTACATGTACTTAATGTTTCTTTGTCTTACCGGGTGCGACCCTACCACTGTTCCATCGCCAATTATTCAACGTCACTCATCGTTTTTCAACAACAAAAGCAATACTATTATCGACCATGACTACAGTTTGGGGCAAAATTACATCGAGCAGAAACAGCAAAAAAAGCAAAATAATGAACAATTGTCATGTTACGTCGGGGGATTAGCCGGCAATGACGATAGTACAACTTCTGTTTCCATAGTTCGTAAGACTCCTAGTCAGAAAGCCGTGAAATCTACTATAAAAAAGATATTTAGCTCCATCACATCATTTGCAAGTCCGAGAAAAGCTCGTAATGTCTCTCCGTCGAAAACAATGGCTGTTACTCCTTAATTGTCGTCGCCTGCAGTGCTGCCAGGTGAAGACAGTACCACTTTTATCAGCACTGAGACAGATTGTGATAATACTTTTGTTACATTGCCTGGAGAAGAAATTCATCATGATTGTTTTGGAATATTCACGCCAAACGATCCACGTATAGTTGCATTCGTTGACAACATTAGCAGCGACCAAACGCAAGAGCCAATTTTACAATTGCCACAGGAGAAGAATTATCCCAGCACTCCAATAAGACCAAGAAGATTTATAAAACAGGTAAGATATAAAAAGTTGGCTATTGGTTTTCTTAACTACATTGTTCTTTTATTATTTCTATCGGATGAAAAGTAGCAAAGCAGTAGTTCGACCAACTCAAGGGACATTTCATTCATTAGTGATGTCCCACCAATGTGTAGAGCGAATACAACATCTTTACTATTATACGAATTCGCCTTTGATGAAGTATGTGACTGGTTAATTGGAACGTTGAACACTCATTATCATTTCATTGATCGACATCCAAGAAAAATACAGAAATGTACTGAATATTCGTAAAGAAAAAGTAACAGAATCAATACTGCGATCGGTCAATATTCGTAAACGTCTAGAAAATCGCTTTTCTAACGTACTTCATTTTGAAACACCGTCGGATAAAGAGGGAACCTACGTTTGTTATAACAATATATCATCCTACGTAAAATTATCATTGTCAAAAGCAAGAGAGAATCAATACTCCATGTATGGAAGCAGTAATTCGAATGAAATCGACCGTAACCAGACAGACTCCAAAAAGTTATTCGACGCGATACGTATTATTCGGGATCACATTTCAATTGGGCATCAGACATTGAAAACATTTGGCAGTAAGACTGAAACGCTGACTTCGTTCACAACTGACGATTTTTGGAACTGTGCACCTGTACTTTTAAGAAATTTTATTGGCTTAAGTACACTAAACGACGAAAGTTTTTATAAGATGCGACGTAATTATGAATATTATGATTTGTTGACGTCAGATTTATTTGAAAAATCTAACAAATGGGTTAAAATTTGTTGCATCACATATGATATTATGAACTGCAAAAACGATGCTGTGTTAAGTCCTAAACATTATTTGTTAGCAAATGAATTAATGAAGCACGAATGATCAGCCGATTTTGTTTCTATTTTTAATCAATATGGACATACATGCTCGTACCAAACTATAACAAAACTGCATGAAGAAGCTGCAAGAAAAGAGAGTACTATCTATCGATTGCCGAAAGCAGTTCGACCACATTGTTTTGCAATCAAATATGCCGACAATTTTGATATCAATCGAGACACGATTAATGGAACTGGTAGTTTTCATATAATGAATCAAATAATTATTCAAAATCCAGAAAACCTCATGCAACAGCTGAAGTTGCAAATAATGTGTTCAATACGAATGCAACGACTAAGGATCAGCTAAACCTGTATGTCCACTATGGACATAGATAATTTCAGTTTTGTTAGTCAAATGAATGGTAATAAGTGGAACAGGTTAAGTCATCTTTGAGTATCTCCTTTTTAGGGCGTTTATGATAGTAAAGATTTAAGTCAAACAGCTACAGTCACCAGCGGGTGTTTGCCAAAAGGCGAGTTCGTTAACACAAAAACGATTCTTTTACCGATAACAACGGACGAGCATTTATCGAAAGACCGATAAATATGCCTAATCTCTTGTGAAAAAATGTTAGGATAAAGAATCGTAATTAAAGAATAAGTCTGCTGGCTATTTGCACGCACCATTAAGCAGCTAATCTATTTCTCTCTGTTTAAAGTGTCTACGGCAAGTGGTACCCAGCCACTCGTGATTCCTCTTCTCCAATTGTCAAATAGTGATATTTCCAGCGTTTCAGCCACAAGTCAACCTTTAAATGAAAATGCAACGAAAATTGCATCTGCATCAAGAATAACAACGGAGAAACAGTATGTCGCATTTACAGATGATTTATTTAATATACCCCTGTTTGCATATGGACTTAGTAAATTTTATTCGGCAACTGTTAATGTTGATATGCCATTATTAATCGGCTTTTTTGCTACTTATTATTATACGAAAGAAAGGCCAGTACATATTGTGTCTTTCTGCCCATCTATTAATGAAGATCCAAGTAGCCAGACTTGTGCAAAGATTTGTCTTCAGATGACAAAATCAGCCATTTTAGACACTCATTCCCAACAACAATGTGTACTTGTTGTTGATGAAAAGATTTACAGTAATTGTATAAAGGTAATAATCCCTTGGCATTAATTATGATACTTTGATTACTTTTTCAAGACTATTTGTTTTGATTTATTTTTTCTCTCGGTGAAAGATATTAGCAACAGCAGTAATTCATTCTCAAATATTTTTCTAATGCCCGGTGATTTCCATATAATGAAGAACTATATGATCATGATACGGACCATCTTAGATGGCATAGGAATAGATGATTTATTGGGTCATATCTATCATGGTGGGACTCTTAGAGCAATTCTAAATGTGGTTCATTTCAACAAATCCTTCCGATCTGTGAAATTATTATATACATCTTTGTTCATGTTATTAATTAAACAATTTCGTCATTTTTTGTCGTCGTCACCGAAAAAATGTCGCAGCAAATAGAAAATATCTTGTCACAAATGCCAAATAATTTTGTAACAGATTCAGTTAAGCAATCTTGGTTCAGAAATTTTACCGCATCTTTACATTCATTAGGACACGTTCGATAAATGGTGTCAGGATTATTCGTTGAAATCCAACACGTTTCGTTTTTGGGTCTTTGTATTATTTCACCTTTTTGAAGCATTAATCAAACTGTACATTGCCATCCGATCGTCAAATTTCAGTGCGCGCAACGATGCTATTTCGTTAATGGTCCCATTATTTTTTGCACATAAACGGCGTAATTACGCGCCATTAGGTGCTAGACATATTGTGGATTTGCAACGTGCGTCTCCATGCCTGTTAAAGTATTGCGCCACATCATTTTCCGTTCAACATACACAGAGACCATTCTCAGCTATTGCTGTTGATCAAACGATCAAATGTACAATAAATAAATACGGAAAAGGACGTGGTGGAACAACTGATCATTTCAATATGCATTTAATCGATAAATGGACTCAGTCGTTTGCATTTCGATCATTGTTGTCTAACATTACGTCCGAAATTTGCGGTTACGAAACAGAATCAAATAACATAGACAGTCATCTTGGATGTTCACCGAATCGTATTGTTGTTGATCAAAATGATTTGCTACTAATTTTATCGAAATTAAAACCTGAAAACTTTCATTTTCATTAGACTCTGAATACAGGAAGACATTATTTACGGGGTAGATTATTCACAAAGATATCATTGACAGCATCTGTACATCTTATCAGCGTGGTTTCCGTCTACTGACGAGGGAACCTATGGAGATGAAGCACTCCCATTTCGTTCGTAAATTGTACGAATACGACATTTATCCAGTGTGCCTATTGTTCGAAAGTTTGTTGTTTCTCGCATTTTTACACCAGCTATCACTATCATTAAAGTGTAGGTTTTTCTCTCTTAGTTTCTGTGAAGTCCTGTTACTGTTACCTTGAGGGTCGTGATTCGAACTCGAGTTTGTAAATCATAAAGGAATAAAAATGACGAAAGTCAAACAGATCTGAAAGTGTAAGACAGACGAAGCAGTCTTCTCACGGCGTTTCCTTGCCTTTATGGAAAGTTCTGCCTCTGAATGAGAGAAAGTGATAGAACTCTGAAACTTACAGAATATGAAGACAACCTTTATCCTCACCACCAGAAAAACTTTCAGCCCTCTACGACTTTTCTGGACAGAGTTGTGATTTTTTTAATTTTGCCTGTTTTCCGCTGACGTGAGAAAATGCGTAAAATGCCCATAACTCCCCAAGGGAAAAGTCTCCGCTCGAACCCTCTTAGGCTTTTTACCCACTCCACATGCCCTATCGATCCACGCAAGAACGAACGAAATGGGAGTGCTTCATCTCCATAGGTTCCCTCGTGAAAGAATACATAGAAGATTGCTATTTGAATGGAAAAATTAAAATAGAAGAAAAGATTAATTTTAGTGTAACATTGAGGATAATTGATGCAGATAAATATTCAGGTGGGACGGCGAAGAAAGAAAAGGCTCCAATATATAATCCAGTGGAATCATATATTAGAAAAGTATTTATTATTGGTTGTGCTCGATCAATTGATCTGAATAATATCTTTCAACATGAGTTTACAAATGCACCAGTATCGTTATGTAACCGCAAGTTTCCGAATTTACTATATCAGTCGAGTAAATCTGTAGTTCAAAACTTTCTTCAAGACACGTTCCCTTTGGCATAGTTTAATCCATTTTTGACAACAAATCCAGAAGAATCTGCTTTAATTATTGATGGCGGAGCACTTACAACAGATACCGCCGAGAGAAGGAAAAAAACCAGTGCATTATCATGCCAGTCAATTAATGGAACGGTTAATAAAAGAACACTTTAACAACAACAGCAGAATAGATGCCATATTCGATTTTCCCAAATCAAAATAAATAAAAGCTTTTATTCAGCGTCACGGAATAACAACTGTAAAAGCTCCATACAGTTTGAACGAAAATAGCATACTAGAAGTTAGTGAGGAGTACAACAAGTTATTACGTTCAAGTCGAGCTGTTGTGGCAAAAGCTGTCAGAGATTCGTGGTTAGCTATATGATAAATTACCGAAAAATAAGTATTTGGATGTAGCTGGTCCAGATGAACAAGTGTTTGTATTAACCAAAGAACGTTGGTTTGTACGATAATTTAAGATCTAATCATATCGAAGCTGACACAAGAATCTTTCTTCATATTAAGCCCATTAGCTCGTTTCAGAATTTCATGCAAGTGATTATTCAAGCGACAGATACAGACATCATTATATTAGCCATTGGTTATGCATTACAGTTGGGTATAAAAATATTCGTACATTGTTCAAGAAAAAAACCGACTAAATATTTTGATTGTTCATTTATTGCGCAAAAATGTTATGACGAACACAAGTTTAATCCATTATTATTAGTAACGCTGCACGCACTCAATGGGTGCGATACTACCTCGTTCATTCGCAATATTAGCAAGTAAAAAATATTTCGAACATTTTTCAAACATCCTCACAAGTTCAAGGATTTAGAGAATTTCTATTTGCTTCCAGTGAGTGAAGAATCTGCGGAGAATTTATTGATCAATTGTATCAATTCATCATTATTAAGTAAGCTTACAAAGTTTTTGAACGGATTTTTTTCGGTTTTTTCCTCAAGCTACAAGCACGAACTTGAAGCTTACCTTCATTGGGTGTCCTCTCGATTCGTTCCTAATTAACTTTGTAAGATAAGACAACATCAAAGAGCACATCAAAACTGAGAGTGAGTAATTAGGGACGGATCGAGACTAAATCCTTCATTGTATCCTTATCAAATGCTTTCTATGTAAAAAATAAATAAAATCAGAAATGAAAGCGTTTAACTTCTTTTTTTTAGCATTCGACGCAGTGAGAACTATTCAAGCAGTTTCACATTTAAGATCATCATCATCCGAATTATTATTAAACAATTTGTTACCTACAACAAATATTCTCTTCATTATCACTGCAAACGTGTTTCTTTGCAATGTAATATTTGGTATCAGTCTACTTGCAATGATATTGATTATCCGCCACTGGCTGGTAATGGTTATGTTTTACAAGATGGAGATATAGGAATCGAATGGAAATCGATGCCCTCGATGCCAATTACAGACCAGATGACGACTTGTACGTGTAAAACGGGATGTACAACGAAAAGATACAAATGTTTTAAACTTCACTTTAAATGTACTATGTTATGCAAGTGTACACTATGTCAAAATTCGTACAACAGTCGATCCGGGTGTTTCCCAGATTCAGGCTCAAAGATACTTATATATAACTGTATCAAATATATAACTTCGTTTCGAGAATTTGCGGTTATTTTTTGGAAAGTGCCGTAAGTTCTGATGATCCTTCTTTCTTTCTGTATGGATATTTCTTTTGTAAAGATCATAAGTAAGAAAGCTGCGACTGTCAAGAAAACAAGCACAATTCATTTTAGTGATGATGAATCCGCTGAAGAAAATGTGTCTATTCGATGCAGAATTTAATTCTACATCTAACTTAAGTAATTAGAAAGGTAATCCAGGTCGAGGAGCGAATATCAGCAGGGATTACTCGAATGCGCTGCTAACTTTCCCTACGTGCGTTTTTGATCCTTAAATGTAGTCAGATCATTTGTCGGTGCAGCAGCATTTGTTAAGAATAGCGCAGTCACGTTAACATGATCAAAAAGGTAGTAGAACCTTTTAATTGAGGAGAGAGGATAGCAGAGTACTTAATAATCCCTCCCGATGGCGTTGCTTTTAAGTTCATAATCAAGATTAGCAAAGTCAGCTCTTCATGATAGATATACTTTGACAACACTTTCAAATTCGCTTTAAAGGAGCAAACGCTCTTAGTTTAAAGGTCAAAAATAAGGGAGTTATTGTGATTATGATACACTGTACTGCTTAGACAACACCCAAAAGCTTGGAGTGGTTAACGAGAAAATAAGACATTATTTTGAACATGAACCACGTTGACCCATCGGTTTACTAAGATGCTACCGAGTATTTCGGATCTTAGACTACCCAGTTACATCATCTTAAGACTATCTTATATAGCATTTTGAAGCCAGTGAAATTCTCTCTCGAATGATGTGTAAAGTACAGTGGTTAACGAGAAAATTAGTCACCGTTATAAACATGAACGACGTTGACCTACCGGTTTCCTGAGATGCTACCGAGTATTCCAGATCTTAGAGTACCTAGTTACATTATCTTAAGGCTATCTCATATATCATTTCGTAGCTCATGAAATTCTCTATCGAACGGTGTATAACAGTTGATATTTGCTCTGGATGAAACAGGTTGAATAGTGTAAATACTTTGAGAAAACGTCGCTTAACTAGGCATGCAATGGTAACGATAATTTATCGGTGTATCGTTATCGGTTTTATCATATCTTACCGATTATCGCTTCTTACCGATTACCGCTTCTTACCGATAAAACCAATAAAGTTTCTAACGCTTGCTAGCGATCGAAAGCAAAATCAGAATAGAGAGAGTGAGTTTGTACTGAGAATAAACTCATGCTCTCAGCTAACGTTCTTTATTGACCCTTTCTCTTTTTTTCTTTTCTTTATATCAGAGAACTAGCAAATAAAATGTCTCTTCTCAGATGTGCACGGTATATCTAAAAGATATGTTTCTGCTCGATTCCTGGCAATGTCTATAGAGATTCAACACGTATATGTTCAATTTCTTCTTCATAACTCAGTCAGTTTTAATCTAAATTTTATACAAGGAACTACCGTAAGAGTCTCAAGGCTTTCGTCTTCTTACAAATGTGGAAAATTTAAAGACTTTCACAGTGTAACCTTCCAAAGGACGATCAAAGTCAATGCTTTTCTCCTGATATTTTATCAGCTGAAAGAGTCAGTAGAGTAGATTTCAATAGTGTTTTCATTTCTTAAGAAATGAAATACAATTGCTACATAATCACACTTACATTCATAAAGTGTGTTAGATTTGAGTTGGACGTTAAATCGGTAAGGGCCGATAATCGATAAGGACCGATAATCGGTAAGGACCGATAATCGGTGAGACGATAATCGGTAAGGACCGATAATCGTTACCGTTGCATGCCCACGCTTAACGCGAGAGGAGTTTTTTTTGCTAAAAGGTATCCAGGGGCACCGAGAAGGATTTTTAAGATTTAAAAATATGTTAGCGTTAATCGTGGACAAAAACTGCATCAGATGAGTTAACATAAGACTGATTTGAGCGTGGGCCGATATTGCCTCTTATCGTCCCCCGTCCTTTGGATTTAATGGAGTTCAACAACTCGTTTCGCAGTGTACATAAAACGGGCGTTCAAGAAATAGTTAACAACTGTCATTTTCTGTACAAGTCAGGGTGAGTTCAACCACCTTTTCCATATGGTCTATTAACGCCCGTCACCTATTAGTTCTCTATTACATTTTTCCGTCGAAGTCAGGAAGAGTTCAACCATCCTTTCCAACGAGCAGTCTGAACGGGAGTTCGAACACCCGCTCATGCCGTAGTTCCTGTTTCTCTTTTATAAGCCTCTTCAGAGGGAGTCAACCACCTATTCCAACGACGTTTAATAGTCTAAAACTCTAGATGTGCTTCGACTTTTCAGAAGCCAGAATTTTTGAATTCGTGTGGAATCTGCCTGGATTCATGTACTTAGTGCGTGCTGGGAT